TGGGGCTGAGAATGAGAGCTTTAAGGTGTAGAAGAGAGCTCCAGTTTTGGGGGTATCAGGGCTGGGGCAGGAGCAGCTTACCTTGAGCAGCTCCCGGTCAGCAGTGCAGCGGAGGTGCAAAAACAGCTTCCTGCCTCTTCTGGCACTGCAGACCCTGCTGCACCCCAGAAGCAGCCAGCCAGTGTGTCCCCGAGTTAACGTCACACACATTGGGTTTATGCAATTGCAGGATAGTTGCATGAGGGGCGGGTGGTGGGGTCCAAACTAATCCCTATTGGTAGGAGGATGGTGGGAAAAGTCCTTAGACAGGGGTCACATGACACCTTTTACTTCTGGTCATGTGTCCACTTTGCTCCGAGTGTTACCTCCAGAGGCGTGGCTAATGGGAGTCAGGGGGTGTGGCTAACAGGGGTCAGAGGTGCAGCTAATGGGGATCAAAGAGTACATTTAAAAAAATTATCTGGGTGCACACCCTAATGAAATGTACTGTGCACACCTATGAAAAAATATTGTTGTAACTTTCACTGAAGTTTTTGAGACCGCATCAAAACGTCAAATAATGACAAACAACGATAACTGCGGCCATGATAACTGATGTAAACAAACATGTTGTCCCGGTCATCCTGTTCTCCGGTGGTGTGCGTCTGCGCGGTGGAGGGTGGAGGTGGTGGCGAGTCCCTTTTTTGTCTGGCGAGTAGGGTTTTGCATAATTTGTCGAGCCCTGATAATTACAATGTTTAAATGATCTCATTATCTAAGCCGCATCTTTCAATCCTGCCCTACATACTCATGAGGGCTTTCTAGTGATTGTACAATAAATGAGATGCCGGTAACATGCTGTGATGTTCCTACAGAAGAATTGGGAATAGGCAAAGCTACAAGACTTTTCAATTTTTTGGATGTAGGGTCTCCAATTTTAGTTTGCCTTAAGTAGGATTTAACTATATATAATACCCAACATTTAACATTTTAGCCTTACTGAAAAATTTCTTGAAAAATGTACTAAAAAGGATGCACATGTTCTGGGAACTTCTTGTTGGGAACAGAGGCTTCAGAGGAGTCAGGTTTATTATTAGAAGGCAAACTCTGGTACAAACAGAATTTTCCTCAAATAAATGAAATAGTGATTCAAAAAGCCTTAAACAAGAAAACAATACCTTTAAGAAACTGCAAACACTATGATTATTTTGCTACAATGTAAATCTACAGTGTGTACCCTTAAGTTAAGGTTACAATTGTGTCAGGATTCTATGGAAATGAAGAAAATACCATTACATTTCTATCATACTTTACACCATAAATATCAGTGGAATCCAAACATAAATAAAACCTCTCTGCAAATTTGGGAACATAATACCTTATTCTTTGTATAGTTTTCTGACCTTTAAAATGAATTGAGGTACAATAAAATGCTTCTTAAAAATAATATAAAATATTAGTACAAAAGTAGGGAATGTTCAAATACACTCCTGTTTAGAAAGAAGAGTGAATTCCAAGTACAGGCAGTCCCCGAGTTACGTGGATCCGACTTACGTCGGATCCCTACATACGAATGGGGCTTTTCTCGCCGCGGAGGACGCGGGCGGCGGGACTGCTCAGACGCGCCGCGGTCCCACCACCCGCATCCTCCAGGGCCAGAAAAGCTGCTCCGCGTCTCCCTGGTCTGCTGGGGGGGGGGCCCCCCCCACCACACCAGGGAGA